TCTTCTTCTTCTTCTTCTTCTTCTTCTTCTTCTTCTTCTTCTTCTTCTTCTTCCTTCACAGACCGTCAGGCAACCAATACTTCACACGCTGAAAGCATTTATAATAGCCATGACCTGTAAAATTTCAAATTTAGCCTCGAAGATCATGAGGGTCGAAAGATCACGGTATTGTAGCCGCGTCACAATGTACAATCATGGGAGAAAACTCACCGCCTCAGAAACTCTCTCTCATTCAAAGTTTGCAGATGCTGGTGACACCCAGAATACCAAACGCTTTAAAAAGTTACCATAACCAGCAGTTTAAGTTAAGTTGGCCATACATTTTGTGATCCGTAAAGTTTTCCAGCATGTTTCTAACAGGGTCTGCTGCGATGTTAGCAAAAATAAGTTCCGTGATCCCTATAATGCTCTGTCTCCCCTTTGCGCTCACTTTGGACATACGCCGGTAATGAAGATGTACGACCCCCTTACCCTTGGGTCTGTCACGTGGGCTGAAGCGTTCGAGAAGACAGACTGGGAGAAAGTTTATATCCTCCACGGACACCCACTCTCATCTACCTCCACACTCTCTCACCCACCTCCTGTCTTTTTTTGGGTTCTTGTTCTCGTTATAAATGCTTCTTTCCTATCTCTTTCCTCACAACTGCAACAGGGCAAACGCCACGAAGTCACGTGAAGCCAACAGCAGATAATTAACTAGAAAACGGTACATGGGTGGTGGTTGGCGGGTGGTCTCGTGTGGGCTTCTCTTTCTTTCCTGACATCCATCTTCGTTATCTCTCCTCTTTCTTTTCTTCATGTGTTATTCTGTGGTACCCTTTCTAATCATCGGCACTTTTCTAGCCTGTTTGTTTTGCAAGTGCCGATAAACTCGTACTTGAAACTAAATATCAAAACGTACGGCATAGCATAGACCTAAAGTCTCCTTCAGAATTGTCAGGTTATTCAGAGTCAATACAAATCTTGATTTTTGTTAGATGACAGATAGTTTACTTTTGTTCTCAGTGCCTGTTGTGTAACACCTTTTTTTCAAACGTGAAAATTGACTCTGATACTCTAAAAGGCCCCCAAACACCCAAACTAAAGTGATAATCCTCAGTTGAAAACACCTTCTGTGTGTGAGGTAGATGAGTAAGTGACAAAGTGCTATGACTTTTTCCTAGGTAAAAGTTAGTAGTGTATACGAAGACTGGAGAAAAGTGTAGAGTCACAATTTTGGTGATTTGTTTTTAGAAATTCTGAACCTCACCTCTTAAATCTTTTAAAGAAGGAATGTAATTTTCTCTGTTCATTTCTCCCTGAAGACTGCCGTAATAATATATAATATGTAGTAAAGTAAACCTTCTCTGTAACCTTCAGAGCTAAGTTGTTTTTTTCTTCATAGCTCAGTATCGACCTGACTTCAAGCCACTTCATGAAACCACTCTGGTACAACGTCACAGACGCTCTCATCCCCTGAGGTCAATCTTAAAAGCATGGTGTTTTCCCTTACAATTTCCACACAAAAATTCTAGTGGTAGAACCAAACGGTGCAGGCAAAGAGCCAAAGACTCCATCTCGAACAGCATTACGTTACACGTTGCAAATTGAACCTTTTGAATGTTGGTTTGGTAGTCAGTTTTTCGGCTCGGCGTCTTGACAGTGCCACGACTGCCATTTCAGAGAAAAAAGTGTTCTCCAGGGTGGGTAGGAAGGAAGGAAGGAAGGAAGGAAGGAATGAAGGAAGGAAGGAAGGAAGGATGGAAGGAAGGAAGAAAAAAGGAAAGGAGGAAACAAGGAAAGAAGGAAGAAAGGATGGAAGGTAGTGTGCGAAAAAAGGAAATAAAAGGATGGTACGGTAGAACGTGCATCATCGAATAGAAAAAAAGTGGGACCAGGACAATCTATTGGTGTTACGGGAGTAGATGGGGGGAGGGGAAAATTCCACTTTATTGATCCCCTTTTGAAATCGGTTTTACAATGACATACACTCACACACACACACACACACACACACACACACACACACACACGCACACACACACACACACACACACACACACACACACACGTATATCGCTTGCGTTTTTGCGTACTATATTTTTATGCCTTACTTGACAGAGAATACAAGAGTGTCGTTTAACTGTGCACGTTAGACTAAGCTGCTATTTATTTCGGTTGGGATCTTTAACAGGGCGTTATTAACTAGATTTAAGTTATTTGGTGAGATTTTAAAAAAATAGCCCGCCAACTTGGCTCGGTCCTTTGGGAGATGGTGGTTCAATTCGGACGCCTTGTCGTGTAAACAACCTGGCAGGAGTGAACGACACATTACACCCATGTACCTATTGTTTTGTTTGTTTTGGTTAAAGTTGTACGCGCTCGCAACTGCTTAAAGTCGTAAGTATGAGCGCACGGGACACATTTAACATTTTTAATTTGGTAGGAATTAATTTTGAATATTGAACGGGTGGGGATTTTAGACCACTACGGGATCTTTTAACATGCGCAACTTCCAGACGGTACCTTATCAGAGAAGCTAAGCATTAGATGTTACCTACTCTAAGATCAGGGATGTGGCTGAAAGACATCAGTAAGAGGAGGCCAAGTAGAAGCAGTAGAAAGGTTGCAGAAAGAATCAGGAGCCCAGAGGAAAGAGGCAAAGGGGAAGGGGGAATGGGGGCAGAAAGTGGAGACGAAAGCAGACAATAGAACAAGGTTAGGGAGCAGGAAAGAGGGTGAAAGAAGGAGACAATTTTAGAGACGAAAATTTTCAATCGCTGTCAGGTTTCGAACCCCGGATCTATTGAATGAGAGGCGAACATCGTAATCCCCAGACCACGAGAGCCCCCAATGTATTTATAATTAATTTGTATCTCAGAAACTGTTGAAAGGACATTTTTCATCTCTTCTATTGAAGGTTCAGTTCAGGTTTTTCAGATAGGGTCGTATCTATGTAATATAGTCAAACTGCCCCGAGATGGCCATCCATTGTCGAGGACAAAAGTAGTTGTCTAGAAGAGGTACATGTCTTGAACAGAACGGGTCCTGGGGTGGAGGCTGTACTCCAGGAACCCAGTTCTTTAGGCAGAATAAGAGAACAGTTTTGGTTTTAATCCGAAAGCGAATGCCAACTGTAGCTTTTGACTTGGGTTACTAGATTTATATAAACTTCTCCAAAGGACCAACAAGTCTCTGTCGTGTAGTATGCGGCGATTCACTGTTGCATGTAGAGGACCAGAGTTCGATTCCCGTCTGGGGATAATTTTTTATTATCTAGTATCTCTGTTGTTTCTCCTGGAATGCCGTATACATTTCATTCTGGGTAAGCTCTAGCAAGCAGGGTCAAAATCTACCTCTTAATTTAAAGGTTCTGAATTGTGTTGATGGGGGCGTAAAAAAGACCTAAATTCACACACACACAAAAAAGAACAGATTAAAAGATTGATTCATTCGGAACATCTTCTTATTGAAAGTGTAGGGAAAAGTTCGACCTCGTAATGCAGAACTTGTATTGATTTGATTTATTATTCTGCGGTACATGTTATTTCATTTGTCCTTTATTAAGTGGCCTAGTGGTTAGGCTACCGGACTCGTAATCGTGAGATTGCGGGTTAGGGGGGTTCGAGTCTCAGCTCGGTCCGACGTTGTGTCCTTTGGGACAGACACTTTACCCAAATTTCCCGCTTGGCTTTGTCCTTTCGGAGATGGTTTTAAACTCGGAGGTCCCACCTCTTAAATTACTTAATAGTGTTGATAGGGGCGTTTAACTTATACCGCTTCACCATTTCACCATTTCGAAAACACTTTCTTTTAGTTACAGGTAGTAGTAGCGATTCAGATTGTTATTTGCTTAAAAAATGATAACAAATGTTTAACATTCCAATCTCTCTTGACCTGCATTACACGTGGATGGTCAGCTTCGGTTCCCCAACACCCCCATCTTGATCCAGATGTCCATCATTCGCCACGTCTGCAGTATTGCCGGCATCATCAGGTAATCTCTGTCAGTGAAAACTTGAGTCTCATCTCCGTGCCAGTTTTAAAGCATTTGTGTCGCAACACGGGTTAATCAGGCGCTCGTTCATTTTCAGGAATGTGGAGTTATTGCTGTCATCTTATAGCTCGTTCATTTTCAGGAATGTGGAGTTATTGGTGTCATCTTATAGCTCGTTCATTTTCAGGAATGTGGAGTTATTGGTGTCATCTTGAAAAGCTCGTTCATTTGTCTTGCTTTAGATCAAAACAATATCCATTTATCTTAAATAGAATTCGAGATACATGTATTTGCTATTGAATGAGGCTTGGATTCAGATGTAAAATTTGCGAGAAAATGGGCCCTCAAAGTTTGGTGACTTCCATAGCTTGAGAGTCCTTGGAAATTGCAAATTTACATTTTTGGGGCCTTAAATGCGTTTTTCAACAGGATCCACACGGAAATCATTATTTAATTGGACCTAAAAGTGGATGAACCACCCCCCCCCCAAAAAAAAAAAAAAAAAAAAAAAAAATTTTATTTGTTTATAAATCGACAAAAATTGCAGGAGAAAAAGCCAGAATCTTTGATTCATTATTTTGACGAGCTCCTGCTTTCATCACAATGCATTTTTCTGCTATCGTCAGCGATTTTCCACAGTCACACAAATCTGTTTGTAAGGGTTTCCATGGAAAACGGTAGATCTAATTCGAAAACAGACATCAAAAGGCATCTTACAATAATAGTAGAATTTCGCTTTGTTTCCTCGTGTCTTTCTATGTTTTTCAAAACTGAAAACTAACGAGTCCCTACGTCATGTTTCTGATTTTGGGCGGAGCGACTTCTACATTTGGCAACAATAGAATTACACCGTTCTAACTGCTCAGTACCTAGTTTTCAGAAATTTGACGCTAAGACTTCCAAGTTTCACAATCTGTCAAGCTTTTTTCGAAAGCAATTTTCTTAATATCTCGACAACGACTGCGAAAAATCGTGAGATTTTGATAGAGCAGATAGAATTTTTTGTTATGTTTCTGAACTCATTGTCTTTGTAAATCAAAACGGCGAAAATTTTCAGACAGAAGTTTGAGATTCTAAGGTAGAGATTTGTAGAATGACGTTGAGGATTTGTATAGACGAAAAAATGTATTTAATGATTCATTCACTCACTCATTCATTCATTCATTCATTCTTTCATTTATTTATTTATTCAGTCATTCATTCTTTCTTTCATTCTTGCTTTCATTCATTCATTCATTCATTCATTCATTCATTCATTCATTCATTCATTCATTTCTTTCTTTCTTTCTTCCTTTCATTCTTTCTTTCTTTCTTTTTTTATTCATTCATTCGTGTATTCATTTATTGAACCCCCAACCTATCCCTCCCACAGCAACAACGTGACGATCGAGGCGATCCCCCTGACGGGCCGTATTCTCTTCGCCTACGTAGCCCTGACCTCCCTCATGCTCTTCATCACCCTCACGGACGTCCTCTTCTCCCTCTTCCCCACCGACATCGCTCACATCCTCACCCTCCTTGTCGTCGCTCTGGTGTCTGCAGCGCAGGCGGGTAATATGAGATAAAATAAGATAAGATGAGATGAGACGAGACGAGACGAGACGAGACGAGACGAGACGAGACGAGACGAGACGAGACGAGACGAGACGAGATGAAATAAGATAAGTCTTATTGTGCAGAACCTGGTGCATTTGTTTTATCGTTTATCACGCGCGCGCACACACACAAACACACACTCACACACACACACACACACACACACACACACACACACACACACACACACACACACATAAACACGCACACGTACACGCACATGCATACGAGTGCGCAATCCCATGGACACATTCTTTCACACATCCTCTCCTTCACACACATCTGTCCACATAACGAGGCTTAGTGTATCTGTCTATCGGATATAGTTTTTTTTTGTTGCAGTAAGAGTTTTACGGTACTAACATCACAAACAGGTCAAATAAATGTCAAAGATTAGGATTGTTACTAGAGAGATTAGTTTTAAAATCTTAAATTTCCGATGTACAGGGTAATCCCAAAAAACATATACAACTTTTTAAATAAATATTTTCCTCCCCACTGAAGTTTTGCGTTCAAAATTTGTACACAACTTTTGGAAGTCATAAGAAATTTATCTGATATTCATTTTAGATAATTCCACACAATCGTTTTGCTCTGCATTGCGCGTTAAAAAACAACTCTTTTTCAGATATGTCCCCATTTTTGCAGCAAGACGCACTAGTTTGCATTAGGCCTATCATTAAAAGTCCCAAACGGTCGAGCCATATTGCAAACTACAGTAGTCTAGCAGGCCAACAGACGTTTGCAGATAGTTTTTTCTCAAGTTTCCTTTGCCTGCTGAGATCATGGTTGAGATAAGTAACGAGCAAAAAGCTTCTTTTATTGAACATTTCCTCACCACAAACTCATGTCGTAAGTTTCACACAAGGTACGGTAACAATGATAAAGTGCCCTTAATGCCTTCTTTGATGTCAAGGGTGAACTGGGCAATCAGTTAGGGCCTGTAGAGAATCAGAAAAAAGATTGACGACAAAACGACCACTTCAGATCAAACAAACACCGTTTGCACGCCTTTAAAGGTCACCCGGGTGCAGAATTCGGAAGATGAGCCCCATGAGACGTCTGTCCATGAACAATTTCTGCAGCTATGATTTCCCTTCATCTCAACGGTCAGCATTTTCAAGGCAGATCTTCATCTACGACTGTACTATTTTCCTGTTCGCGAAGCTGACTTGGATCAGAGGATAGAAATGTGCTCATAATTCATCGATCGCCTTGAAAAAGCGCGAATGTTCTTCTATGGTACTTGAATACTTCGCAAAGCCCTTATTCACATTTCAGGATATGTTAACTCCACAAAAGCCTATAAATCTGTTCCAAATTACAACATTCTAGAACAAATTTTGTTCAAGATATTCAGAAAAAAAAGATGGGTGGTTGGCGGGTGCTCTGGTGTGGTTTGCTTCTTCTTTCCTATCAAACATCTATCGTCCTTTTCTTTCCTTCTTTTTTATGTTTGTTAATCTCTTGTAACACCTGTAATCTTCTGGCGCCGTAAAACATCTACTAAAACTAAAAACTAAAGAAAAAAATGAGTACAGGTTTCATTTTTTTTCGGGGGGGGGGGGGTTGCAAAATTATTTCTGGTAACGCCTTTTGTAAGAGTTTTACGGCACTTGCAACACAATTAATAGGTCATATAAGTGCCGAAGAGTAGAGATGTTGTTGGAGGTGAACATACTAAGAAAAGAGGGAGGGGATATAAGAACTATAGGTGTTTGATAAGACATTAGGAGAAAAATAAACAAATACAAAACAACAACAACAAACAAAAAATTTAATGAAGATCATTTCTATAGCGCCTACTCCCGTGTAAACACAGCTTTAGACGCTTTACATAAATGCATGTACAAACAATATTCACGCCCGCGACACACACACGTACACACACACACACACTCATACACACACACACACACACACACACACTCATACACACACACACACACACATACACACACAAACACGCACACACACACACACTCACGCACACATTACACGCACACATGTGAACACACAAGCACGGCAAATACACATACACACACACACACACACACACACACACACACACACACACACACGCAAACACATACACACACATACACATCTACTTGCATATCACAAGCGCACAGTTACACATCGTTACGAAATGGGCATATACACATAATAAAATAATATACACAATGCAATTCGCAAAATACATAAATGGCTACATAGTCATTTACATAACATTGTACTGAACTTGAATCTACTTATATAAAAATGACGCACCTACCAGACACCCATTGCTAAAACTGAATGATTGTCTTTTGTTTGCTGCAGTGCAACAGTCAAGTTTCTACGGCTATGCAAATATGATGCCTAAGCGCTACACTGAGGCTGTCCTCGTGGGAGAAAGTAAGTAGATCGATCTATCTATCTCTCCATCAATTCATCCTTCCATCTATCTATCTATCTATCTATCTATCTATCTATCTATCTATCTATCTATCTATCTATCTATCTATCTATCTATCTATCTATCTGTGGTGTAATGGTTAAGCTCTATGCTGTTGCTCGCCCAGCGCGTGAGTTTGACTTCCAAGTAGGAGAGTGTTTTTTTCTTTTCAAAATAATGAGTGTCTCCATTAGTTCGCTGGGACATTGCATCCCTCCAAATCTAAGCTAGCCCTTACAGAAAAAAGATAGAATCAGCCGGCTGCCAAATTATCTAAAATTGTGACGATATGAGGTTTTATGAAAGAAATATACACTTTAGATAATAATATGTATAGTCTACAAGTCTTAGTGTTTTTTTACCATTCCGGTAAAACCAACAGAAATTCCCCACAGGGACAATAACGTCTTCTTCTTCTCTATCGTAAACAATACAATAAAACAACATCTTAATTATATCTTATTTGAAAACTTCTACAATTCCTCTTCGCCCCGCCTCTGTC